AAGAACAAGGGCTTTGTATGGATCGAAGTAGGGTCCCTATCGAATTTATAGCTGCTACTTCTCACCGAATGACCCCTTTCATACATTCGAAACAGAAGTGCCACAACCTAGAAGATGACATTCATACCGCTACTGGAGAAGTCCTATAGCCGGGGACTTCAACGCGAACTCATCGGAATGGGAGTCACTGAGAAGCGACAGAAGGGGGTCTCTTGTCACAGACATGGTAGCTAGGAGAAACCTCGTGGTGCTGAACAACGGAGGAGTAGCCAACCTACGAGAGATACAACTCGAGATCAGTCATAGACCTGACTCTGTCCTCAAGGAAAACTGCGGACAAATACACGACTGGACGGTTCTGGAAGACGTCATCTCAGTGACCATAATTATATAGAGTTCACCATACAAATTAAAACTCAGAGAATTAAAGTACGGGAAAAGAAACTGAAACCCTCATGGAACGTGAAAAACTAGACCAGGAAAGCTCTAGAAGAGTTCCTGAAGGAACAAGCGACCCTGGACGAATTAAACTGGACAGAAGGCCCAGGAAACAAACTACGTGGTCGAAGAACGATTAGTACAGTCAAAGGAGGCGTGCAACACGCTCTATGCCAAGAGAGGTCAAATACCAACCGCACTGAAACCAATTGTACTGGTGGACGGACGAAATCTAGAACTGAGAGAAAAATGTAAAAAAACGAGACGTCAGTACACGCGATCCAAAGGGAATCGAGCACATTAAGAGAGGCGCTTCGACAATGCAGACAGGACTAAAACACGCCATCATCAACAATAGCAAAATCCGCTGCTGGACGGCGCTTTAAAGAAAAGAGCAACGACCGTGGGTCAATACGTACCAAATCGTCACAAAAAAAACTAAATGCAGGCGGAAATGACCCGGATGGGATGATCTACATGCGGTAATCCAAATCATAAAGAACTTGTTTCCATCGCATCAGAAACCATCGATTGAACAATGCCAGCCTGTAAAATTACAGAAGACCAAATGTTTTCCCCAGAAGAGCTACAGAAAGTATGCAGTAGTCTTAATAACAAAAAGGCCCCAGGACTCGAGGGGTACACAATGAAATTCTGAAGACAGTGGCAAAGGTTCATCCGCAAATTCTTCTGAAAGCTTATAATAGGTTGCTTGAAGGAAAACGTTTTTCGAGTGTATGGAAAAGAGCAGAAACTTACTCTATTCTTAAAAGGCAGCAACAACACAACACGAGCCCACATCTTACAGACCAATCTGTCTACTAGACACGATGGGAAAGGTATTTGAGGGTCTGATTCTGCAAAGACTACAGACATGGCTTAGAGGAAAACAGCACGGCTGTCGGAAATGCCAATATGGCTTCCGAAAATGTAGATCGAACAGTCGACGCTATCAAAACAGTCGTAGAAAAGGCAAGAGAAGCCAAAGAGGGAACAAAAAAAAGAATTCTGTGCCCTCATAGAACGCTCGATATCAGGAAGCCTTTAACTCCGCCAAATGGGAGGGATTATCAAGGCTCTGATAGAGAAGAACACCCCAGAGTACCTCACCAGTATGATACGGAGCTACCTAAGCGACCGAAAGACCATCTACGAAGGTGAAGAGAGAACCCATTGAAATTGAGATGACCTGTGGTGTCCCACAAGGTTCAAAAACTTGTGCCTGTCTATGGAATATTATGTACGACAGTCTACTGGCATAAACTCCCGCAAATGTCTCAATAGTAGGCTTTGCAGACGATGCAGTAATAGTGGCAACGGCGGAAACATCGGCCCTACTAGAGGTCATGTGAACGACACCCTGAGAAGAGTGATGAGATGCTTGACGTCCAAGGGCTGGAAGTGGCAGCCCACAAAACGGAAGCATTGCTTATCACCGAAAGACGATCGTAACTCCAACCCAACATTCCGAATAGGCAAGGAAAAAATACAATGTGGACGAGACTTCACTACCTAGAATGGACCATTGACAGGAAGCTAAGTTTTGGACCACACATTAGTGAGACAACGGAAAAAGCCCTAAAAATAGTAACAGAAACGCTTTCCAGATTGATGCGCACACCAGGGCCCCCCAGCGACAAAGACCAGAGAATTTAAATGAGTGCTGATGCACTCGAAAATGCTCTAGTGCAGCACCGATCTGGGCAGACCGCTCTCCAAAGCAATAATCTGAGAAGGAAATGCAGTCTGTCCAGAGGAAAGGAGCTCTACGCATAACATCCGGCGTATAAACTGTATCCGGAAGTGTGTTCTTCTGCCTGGCGAACGTCCTCTAGTTGACTGCTTCTCTAGAAAAGGAAAGAAGTTTACAACTACTCCACGAGCAAGAAGGAAACGGAAGGGCGAATGCACAGATAGGATAGCGCAATTAAAAAAGCGAAAGAAAACGTGATGCACCGCTGGCAGAGAACGTGGGACAGAGAGGAAGACCGGCAGCATGGAACTCATAGGCTCATCCCGAATATATCCAAATCGGATAAGGCCGCAAACACGGGTCCGTGACATAACCACTTAACTCAGGCTTCCTGGGCATGGATTGTTTTTAAGCATACCTTAAAAGATTCAGCAAGATCAGAAGACGCGGTATGCTTCTACTGCAACCATGAAGTGACGACGACGCCGAAGCATACGCTGTTCCATGCCCCCGAGATGGGACACGCTAAAGGCATCGCATGCTATGGGAGGTCGGGTGTTAATGTCTCACAAAACATGGTCCACACTTATGATCTGTAACAAGGCGAGTGGACGCAATAGAGAAATATATCAGCCGCATTCTCAACAAGAAGGAAGAAGACGAAAGAAACAGTCATCAGCTGAACCTAAATAAACCATCGAAGTAATACAGCTGGCACCATCCTGAGTATGCATAACTGCCGGTTCCAGGGTGAGATACCGCCAGGAAACAAAGGGTTTGTGGTTTTTAGTGGGGGTAAAAATCTCACACTGTTGAGGAGTGCGGGCTCCTCTCCGTCTTTTTTTGAAGATTCCAACAGTTCCCCCTCGTTAAAAAAAAAGATAGATAGATAGATAGATAGATAGATAGATAGATAGATAGATAGATATAGATATATGTATGTATTAATTGTCCTTATATACTCGTATTTGCATTTCAATAAAATAGGCACTTTCCTAAACACTCGATGTCTAATGATGAATCAGGGATTAATCGTAAGATTTATTTTAATTTCCATTCGTTACAGAAGTATTTGTCTTTCAGATAATACGACAGACAAAAATAAACACAACAAAAACAAAAAAAGCTGGTGACCCAAGTTCAAAAGTTACGTACTCCCTACAACTTGTCTATTCCTTGCACAATTCACATTCCTTTAAACACGTATAAAATGAAAAATTCTCTTAAATGAAATTTACAACACTCAGTAACAAATTATTTACACTCCCGTTAAAATAAAACATTAGCGAATGCTTTGAAGACAAAGCAAACGGCACGGATTTAATGAAAAGTCTCAGGACAATATAGTGCTGGTTGGATCTCCCCGACCTGATGAACACGAAATTTCTTGGGGTCGTGGCCTACCTAGGTTAATAGAATAAATAAAAAGACGATTATTACGGACCTCTGGCCTGGGAGTTGGTCCTGACGGAATGAAACCTGCAGAGGCGGTGTAGAAGTCCGCGTTCCGGAGCGGCGGCGGCGTGCCCCGGGAGGCAATCTCGTCAGCGCGAATCCCGATGGCGTGAGCACGGCTGCGGCCACGGGTCGAGGCGTCGGCACGCGCTGTTTAAGGCACGCGCGCTCACTTACCTCTTCGTTGCGACGGTGCAAATTACTAATATGCTTCGCCCTCAACTTCTGATTCGCGACCCTTAACGCGTGATTCGAGCACCTCTGTCGACAGCTCCGCTCGTTATCGCCGTCCTCTCTCCGCGACGACCTACCCTCACTGATACGCATGCCCCTGCTTAGGCCCCCTGCCGGCGGTTGGCTTTAGGAGCGTGGCCGCCCGCCAAATTCGAACCCCGGCCCAGCGAAGTTGCCCAGGCTTGAAGATTGGGAACCACGTGTTTATGTGTATATAAACATGTGGTTCTGGACCGAGGGTCGTTTCAGAAGTCATTGCTACTATTTTATATATTCTGAATAACTGAATATTCTGAATTCTGCGTGGTAGAAATTCTCGTGAGTATAGTGGCGAGCTACGAGAAGCTCTTGGTGATAGGGCGTTGCCCTGTCGAAGAGTTGCACATTGAGTGGAGGCCTTCAAACGTGGACGCGTAGCAACTCTTTCACCGCCGCGCACTGGACACTCAGCGTCTGTTTTCATAATGGTGCAAGTGGCTGTTATCAAATACTGTTTAGCAGATAAAAAGCCGTGGCATAATTGGCAGCATATACTGGTATGTCTGCATAGACGGAGTTCCACACTTTAGATAAGCAAGTTCCACACTTGAAGATAAGCAAGTTTTGTGCAAAGTGGGTGCCACATGCTTTAATTGAGGTTCAAACTGGACTCGATACGAGACATGCCGTGTCAATCTAGAGCGATTCCAACAAGAAGAAAATGAGATGTTGAATTATTGCAGTATACATCGTTTTTTATTAAATGTTTTAGTTGGAAAGCAATAATGCATTTAAAAGAGTGGTGCAGGCCTCATATTCGTTGCAAATCTTAACTTCTTGAAAATGGCAAAAGTTCAAAAAAAATTGGAGCCTTCCTATATCTAAAATATTAAAGATCTAAATTTTTTCCCATTAATAAAATCTGTTACTTAAAGATATATTATTAAATAAGGTCATGCAAAATTTTCGAAAACTCAAGTACTAATCGCGCAATTTTGCATGAAAATACGAGCGAGAAAGTACGTGCTGTTTTAACACCACTGGATTTTACAATTACTCTCTAGTAATACATGGAGATGAGCGGGGCTCCCTCGTCAGGGGCGTGTCGGCAAGAGCACGGCCTTCCGGTGCAGCGCGCGTGGCGGCCGGTGCAGCGCGAGGAGACCGGTTGAATCACGGCCTCTATTCTCGGCCGCCTGACTCAAGGCGGCAGCGCGAGGCGAGGCGTGACGTAGGCACGGGCGGGCGTCCGGCAGTAGCCCCGATATTCCCGATAAGTATCAACAGGCGCCCCAAGGATGCGCGTGCACTCAGCTCCTCGTGGACGTTCAACAGACCCCCTACGTAACGCGTTACATCCAACGCTTCTCTCACTAGGCCCCTCGATCCTGGAATGTTGCTGGCGTTTCTTGGTGGAAAATGTACATTTAAACCAGAACTATTCTGTGCGAATTTCAAATACGAATAACTATTACCATGGTATATTCACTTGTGGCTACACAAGAATTCTTCATAAAAACATTATTTTTTATGGTCTCCAGCAGCCTCCAGCAGCTACGATTTCTCACTGTTGTGAGATCTGTTTACCTGCCAGTGCCATCGGATTATATTCAGACGACTGATTGATAGGTTAGTGATTCTAGGCGAGTTATCTGATGTCATTTGTTTCGTAAGAGCAGTGCATGTTTTTATCACGGGAGGTGGCTGGCGATTTCCGGCACCGACCTACCCGTCGGCTGGCGAGATTTTCCTCAACCAGGTGTCTCTCACCACCGGGGCTCCGGCCCAGCCGGGATTGGCCTTTAGGGATGTGTGGTAACGTACTGCGTGAAAGTGTAAGTTTGCGCAAGAAACGGATAAGAATACGGCAAGGACGAGGCCCGCTGTCAGCAGGCACGTTTGTTAGGGTACTACTCTGGTATTCGGCTTATGTTTATCGGAGAAACCACGAATAACTACCGAGTCACAGCAGTCGCCCGCTCACATTCTACTCCAGATTTCGGCGGAATTCGACCTAGCTAAGTAGCTACTGTCCGAAATCCTGCCACCGTTGGGAGTTGAACCCTAGGATCTGCAGAGGTCAGAGGCTCTGTAGTGACATTATATGATGCCGTGATCCACCTAAGGTGTCTTCATAGTATCCAAAATTTATTTTTAAGCGTTTTTCCATATAATCTCCACACTGAAAGTAGGTTGTTTGATTCCTGGGTTAAAGTTTCTTAAGTGAGTGATTATTTTCTGTGCCCATGGGCGTTAACTGTTATTAATTTCTCCCGTAAAAGTAGCGCATGATTCATCAGGAAAGAGGTGATGTTCTTCACCCACTAATATGCGAGATCTGGCGCTCGTCTTAGTAAGTGGAGGAAGAAACCTTGCCATCTCCCCAGCTACTATATGTGTATGTAAGAGAAATCTTTAAAATTGAATCATTTTTCTACAGAACTTAAGGTTAAAGAGATATAGAGAAATACCCGGAAGATGTTAGAAAAAAATACCGGTTTTTCGGAATTAGCACAGGGTCTAGAACATCGAAAACTTGAGGTTTTACAGTGACAGGGTACATAGAACATACACTCTGTGATTAAAAGTATATAAAGGAATTCAATAGGATGTTGGTCCACCCTTAGCCTTGATGACAGCTTCCACTCTCGCAGGCATACTTTCAATCATGTGCTGGAAGACTTCTTGAGGAATGGCAAGCCATTCTTCATGGAGTGCTGCCCTAAGGAGAGGTATCGATGTTGGTCGGTGAGGCCTGGCACAAAGTCGACATTCCAAAACATCCCAAAGGTGTTCGATAGGATTCACGTTAGGACTTTGCACCTAGTCAATTACAGGGATGTTATTGTCGTGTAACCAATCAGCCACAGGCCGTGCAGTATCAATAGGTGCTCGATCGTGTTGGAAGATCACCATCCCCGAATTTCTCGTCAATAGTGGGGAAGCAAGAAGGTGTTGAAAACATCAACGTAGGCGTGTGCCGTGATAGTGCCACACAAAACAACAAGAGGCCAGCCAAAAAAGCCATCTCTATGAAAAACACGACCACACCTGAACAACATTTTGGTTGTGTCCACATACTTTTAATCCTACAGCGTATTCAAAGAAAAAATATGAACTTTCTCTAAAACTAAAAACAGGGTAAAATTTGTAGAGTGCTAGGTTTGTTTTGTTTTTTGTGCTATTTTTCTTCGGAAGCCGACTTTTCTTCAGGTGATAATAACATTCTAATTCAGCACCATCAAAAACTATAGAACCGTTTTGAAAAAAATTTCCACCATTTTTTCTTGGATCGAACCCTTTTGAGTACCAATTGGCTGGGCTATTTGTGAGGAGACATTTACTGGCCAATTAGTAAGGAGACGTTTTCTCTTCGTGAAAACACCTTAAGGTTAGCACGTTGACAGACTGCGGTAAGGGACGGGGTTCAAACAAAATTAAAAACATAAAATTTCGGAAGATCGACTTCCTGACGATCCTAGATTTCTCTCCTAGTATTTTGAAATACTTGAACTCCATTATTTCAATACATTATTTTCTTACGACGTGAAGCGCAAAAGTATAAGGTACATCTTATTTCTATGTTGTATTTTCTTGTAAGATATTACAAATATTATTGAACGACAGGACCGATGCCACAAATAACTCTCTTGCTTGGTTATACACCTGGGAATCGTCGCGGCTAATGACGTTAATCGGGCACAGGTCGTTAAAAGTATCTCAGTATGGATGACGATAAAATAGTACAGCATTACGAAAACTAATCGACAAATAGAACATAGCAAGGTAAACGCAATGGTCATTGGTGGTAAGAGAAGACGTAAAGAGTGGGAGAGCAAGGAGGCGGCGAGCCTTCCGTGGATGCCATCATCCCTGAAAGCGGCGGCCACCGTTGCACCGAGACCCCGGAAGGCGAGGGCGGCGTGCAGTGGGTGGCGCGGGGCGGGGCGTTATACTGTGGCCGGCCGGGGCGGGGGAGGAAAGAGGAGGGGAGGGGGTGGTGGAGCGAGGCGGGGTAGGAGAGAGGTGGGGAGCGCCGGGGTGAGGCGGCATTCCTGGCCCCGCGCGCGGCGGGTCGGCGCCCGGCGCCTTCCTGGCCCCGCGGCGATGCGAAGGCGCCGGCGCCACGCGGAGGAACAGGAGGCGCGAGGGCGCGCGGCCCCGGCTCCCCGAGGCACACGACGGAACGCCCTCACGCCACTTGCATGAAAACACGATTTTTCCTTTTTCCAAATTCCAAATTGAGTCGTAGTTTTTAGAAGAAAGGAAGAAATGAATGGTTTAGTGAGCCATTTAAGAAATCTTACAGTTCTGAACAATTCCGAAAGAGATAATAACCCGTGCATAACTGTACCATATTTTTCTAATTCATAGATGATACAAATGTGTGGGTACGAGCTACATAAATATATTAGAACCTTCACAGCCTTTGGTGCATAAATAACCGAATGCACATTTTCATTGAAAAATGTTGATGTTTGAGAAAAGGTCCTATGACCGTATTTATACATCGGCTTTTCGTCGCCGTCATTCGCCCCAGAGCTTATTGTCGCTCGAGATCATTTGAACCCGTTAACGACTGTGTTACATACGTGATTTTATTTTTTGCCTAATAACAGTGATCCAAATTTACTTATTTACTAAGTAACTAGATGTTAACTTGACTCGGTTTGTCTTTTCATATTTCCCTCCATAAGAGAACATGTAGCATCATTCAACTGTTTTCATATTTCTCTCGCAACCACGATTCTCTCGATCCAGGTAAGTTATGCAGTGTACATCGAACTCCGCATCGAAAGAACAACAAGCAATAACGTATTGGCAAATAATAAAAACAGTTTTTATTCTCCTAAGAAATTTTGAAAGACTTTTTAATTCCACCACTAGGGGGTAAAAAATGAGAAAACGTGTTTTTTAGAAAACTCTCAATTAAATGTTACACGAAAGTTAACTGAATAATTTTGTTAACTGATAAATACTGAAATGTTATTTTTCTACATTTTCTATAAAGTTAGTTACGATTTATAATGAGTTTTACAAAACATGACTGAGATGAGTTAATTCGGACGAACTGCAGTATTTATTACGTAATCGTTACTAAGGGGGAGAAAGTATGTGCTGTTGCAGCACCACTAGTTTTGAATATGAAAACGATGTGTGTTGCCAAACACGTCTCAAGTTATGTTTGGATTTACTTACATTACGTATATTTGTAGGTAATTGATTCCCTCACGGAATATAAGGTTTAGCTTGAATGCTAGATTGATTATAGGAAGAGAGTAAAGTGCATTGGCCTTTTTTTACAGTTCCAAACACGGGTGTTTGATCCAACATAAGCACCACTTGGCTGTGTAAAGAGATGGACTACAGTATTAGGTTCCTCTTTTATTTAATGAATTAAGGATTAAAAATAAATATATGTCTGAAGTTCTATCCATTCTTTATTTCTCTTCAATAAATAGTGACTTACGTACCAAACCGAGGCAAGTCGAGAATACACTCTGGTCAGGAGTGTATAATGCTCTAGCGACTAAATCGACATCTAGCTGCAAAACTTGTTTATATGTTTGACTCAAGTAATTATGTGAACACATTTCATTAAGAAAAAATATATCTTAAATTAAATGAAATTATCTTAAAATAACTGTGGTTGTAGAAAGACGCCAGAAAGTTTTGAAGTTTTGCAATTTTCAAAAAAGTCAGGGATTCCAACGAAAATCAGACCTGCATTATTCTCTTAAACATCTTTACGCAATCTAACAACAAAATTAAACCCACAAAAATGTTGCATTTTTTTCAATTTCTAAAAATGTTGGTGCATTTTTTCGGGGGTTATTTGGAAAATGTCACTGGGGCTTCATGTAAAGTACACTCCAAAATTAAGATATGCTTCAAATTCAAGGGGCCGCGACATCAGCCAAATCGATTGACGAATATCCACTTTTGGTGAAAATCCTGTATTCGGTTTAGAGGTCATCCATAAAACGCTGAAGAGGGGAAGGGTATTTGAGGCAGCGTTAGGCTCCGTTGCATAGGGGCGGGGGGAGGGGGTATTCGATTAGTGTTACGTAACATTGATATGTTTATACATTTTTTAACAATTGTTGACATAATCTATTTTCGAGTTTTATAATAAAGCGTTAAAATATTATCTAATTAATCTGTTTCAAAACTACTAATTGAAAGTTATTAAAAGTTGTTACAAATGAAAATATTTTTTCACCAATGAATTGAAACTAAGATAACGAAGAAAATATTAAAAATTGATCTGTAGTATTTTGTAGAATTAAAATGACTCAGTAGATTCTTGCCCATGCGCCATACAAAACGGCGGGCGGCTTGTGCACGGCTTGTGACAAGAAATTTTCTCGCCTGTGTGCCCTTCCTTCACTCAAACTTTGCCCCAAATCTTATTGTTAGTTGCAGTCAGCATTGACAAATAATTCCGACTTTAATTATAAATTGTAATACACAACACAAATTGAATATGTTTTTTTACTGATCTATAATTTATTTTCACATCTTGCATTTATAAGGAGGGTTTTACACGCATTACGTAATTATTTAGGGAGAGTTCAATTGTGCGCTACGGATGCGTTACAGGGGGAGATGATATGTTCAAAACACTCCAAGTTTGACGTTACGTAATTTACGGACGGCCCCGTAAGGCCCATTTACAATGCAAACATAAACATAAGCATGGCGTTAACGTAAAAGTTAGGACTACGTTGATAAGCGGGATCATTCACAATGCGCTCGCATAAGCATAACACGTAAAACGTTAACTTCAAAGCTTGCAAGCTTCTGTACGTATGCTCAAGTAAGACAAGAAATGGACCAATCACAGTACGTTAACTCAAAATAAAGCATCGAAGTCGATGGACGAACTAACGCCGTATGGGCCATGGGCACCTCGAAATCAATCTTGCATCCAAACATCCCATGTAAACTAGAATGTCTCACAGCCAATGGAAACTCTTATTTTGCTTACGTTTATGTTAGACATAGTGAATACTTAAGTCTATCACTTTTCTTAATGGCAACGTCTATGCGTTATGCTTATGTTTACGTTCGCATTGTGAATGGGCCTTTAGCCGCTAGTGTTATTCGCAGTCGGACGGACAGACGTTTTGTCATCCATCGATTATTCGTTATCGTGGACCCACAAAACGTGAATTCTGACTACACAGCATGGTATAGGAAATAATTTACTTCATTTAGGAATTAGACTTGCCTACATTTTCGTTACCAGGGCCCGGTAATATTTTTTCTGTTGAAAATTCCCCGTTCTTCCCCGCAGCATTACAATACAGTACTTTCTCCAAACACTAGCGACGAAGTAAAAGCAACAAAAGCTTTAAACGCGTTTTTTTTCTTCTATGCTTTACGTGACTTGAGTAGCTCGTGCATTTCAGAGAGTAGCAGGAGATGCAAGATTTTCCATTTCTGGAGGAGGGCGAATTGATTGCAAATATTAATAGGATATTTTTGAAATGCCCCTTTAGAATCCAGATACAAAAAGATACTGATGTTCCAGATCTGCCACTGCCTCCTAAACCTGTCTTGAAGAGATGGAAAAAATTGATTTCGGCAGTTTTTTACTATTTTTTTCAAAACTGCATTCACGGTCAACACTCTTGGGCATGAACAATCATCCGTTGGATTAACAAAGGAAAATCTGATAATTAAAATGGTTCTAAATTTCATATTGTAATTGTAAAATGTATTTAAATGTTTAGTTGTTAATGACCTTGTAGTGGATGTGATGATAAATAAATTTAAATAAAAAGAAAGGAACATCTTGATTCTTTAGAAATAAAAAGAGACCTTATTTTAATTATGTCTCATTTGATTGGTCATATCATCACTTAACTTGAAGGAGGGGACATACGGGCATCATTGAAACTTGTGGATGATGTAAGAATGCAGAAATTGCCAGGGAAAAAATATTATTGGTAGCAGACAAACGAATGATAGCATTTTCCCAAAATTCTGATTAATAAAAATTTCAAGATATGACGAAAATTCTAAAGGATGACAATTCAATTGCTGCAGAAGTGGATCCATGTAACCCACTGTCCACCTAATTTTATTCCAGTAACCTCCAGCAATGTTAAGAGATCTCTCTCTCAATTGAAGGAGGTTTTTGTTCCACAGAAAGATCAAATTAAACAAAAAAAAATTAAGAAAGCACTTAGTTTTTGTTAGTAACCAAAAATGTATGAAAACTCAAGGTATTGAGGGGGGAAAAAATTATTTGCATCGAAATAATTTTGTCTTACTTTGATTAAAATTGTGAAATACATACTGTTGTGTTAAACTCTAATTGTGATTTTTTAATGGATTTTATTTTGCCTATTTTAGCATTTTTAAGTGTTTTTTACCTGCCTATTTTAGAGATTTATTGTGCCTTAAGTTCTGGTCTCCAGTAAAGCAACCCAACCAATCAGATTGTGGGTTTCTATTTCATTTTCAAACATACTCAACAAGTTCTCATTTGGAATATCACGCTATTTGTTGCTGGTATTGAGAAGATTAAACAGTTCTTAATTTTCTTTATGGTGAAATTAATGTCAAGATGATTGGTCTGCATTTATCACTCCTCTGCAGTTGTTCATTCTTTCTTTTTATGTCTGGTTAATCATGTTGGCATTAACCGTCAGACAATCTGAATCTGAAATTCACAGAAGTGTTATGCTTCACAATGTGTGTAAATTACCAAACCTATTTCTATTTATGAAAATACCAACATTTTTCATAAATTTTTGTTCATTTTGACACGTTTTAATTTTTGAGACAAATTCACAATTCCCTTTTTCTTATATTGATGTAATTATTTTTCTAGGTTTGTTACAAAGGAAGTTCAATTTTAATTGGATGCTTATTGCTATGAAATTTTTAAAAACAAAAATAATTCATATTTGTTGTGCCAACATTTTATTCAAAAGAAAAACACTGAGCATCTGTCTGGCATTTAGATTGATATTCAATTTATATAGAGATGTATCTATTTCTTTCTACGATTATGCTTTATATAGCTAAGTTTATGATGCTACCCAAATGTTTTTTATAGATATTTTCATGCAATTCTTTTTAGGCCAATTCTATTTTTAATTTACATTAGTAAGATTTGTTATTTACAATGGGTTCAAGTTTTGTACATAATTTTTATGTGCACAAAAACTATAATTGTACATTTAAACTAAGCATGCAATTGTATGTCTTAATTTGTGAGTAATCAAATGAATTCATGGTAACATAATTAATATACAAATAAATAGCAGTCATTATGAATATATTTGCAATAAGGACCCACACATGTAGAGTTATTATCACTCTCTTAATATGCATTTCACATGTATACAAAATATAACAACCCCAGAACTGAATTTAAAATATGACAATTTTTAAACTTTGAACTTTCATGAGTCTTTTAATTTCCTTAGTGTAAAATACTTTTTACTTAAATAGAAAAGTTGAATTTAATGGCACAATGAAAATAGCATGAGCCTTTTCTATATCGCTTTGATGAGACTTTGAATAGAAATAAGTGGAATAAATAATATTGTTTATTTTAAGATTTTTGACTTCAATAAAACAGACTGAGACTTTTATAACAATTTATTTCATGATATATTTTAAAAAACTCACAGTCACTTCTATTAAAGTCAAGGAACTTACAATAAATAAACATAACAGGTGTTAAAATAATCATTATAATAATATTTGTGTTGAATGAACAAAATGTGAACAGAAGACAAATTTTCCAGGCTGGTAGGCTGTGGTCCAGTTGGCATTGAAGAGCCACAAATTTCATCCACGTCTGCGGCAGACGTGGACAAAACATTTGGCCCTTCAATGGCAACTGGACCACAGCCTACCAGCCCAGAAATTTTATTTTCTATTGACTCCAGTCATGAAAGCCTACGAAACAATGTGAATAATAATGATGCTGAATTATAAAATAATATTTATGCTGCATTTAAAATAATATATTTTTTATTTCTTTAATATTGATACAGTACCTTAAATTAATTTTCTTCAGAATCATTTACTTCAAATGACACGAGTTATTTGTCTTTCTAAACTAGTTAAAAATATATTTACTGTTATTAATTTATAATACAAAAAGATTAGGTAGGAGAGTTTTTAAATATTTGAAAAGTTTTGTGTAGTTCTAGGGAAATGACTTTACGGAAACTCTATTAATGGAGTCATGACTCCATTAATAGAGTCATTACAAACATAACATAAAAGGAGTTTTCCATACAATGTATTTATTATTTATTGCAAGTTACAAGTTATAAAAGTTTGCAATTAGAACATTACTCATTTCATGATCTTTATATTAATTAAAAAATACGGCACAAAGTTAAAGATTTCTGATTTCATAAACTAGGGTATACCTTGCATCTTTTTATTTACAACACCAAGACATCCTCTGGTTAGTCACTCTGCTGTATATATAACTTGATCTGTACATATTTGATCCACAGATATTTTGTTCTAAAAGCACATGATTTCAGATTTTTTTTCTATTCCTTTATCAGTAGAACTCCTCATATCTGACTTCAGAATATTCAACCCACTCTACCCTTCTTTCCTCTTCAAATTTGCTTCCTACTTTATGCCAACACTTCAACATTATTATATTTTTTTAATTACAATACTGCATAGTATGTTTTGTATATACTTGTATTTGTATACATGTGTATATTCTTACATTAATCATTATAAATATAATATATGATTGTGGTATGTATTACTCATCTATTTGTGTTTTTATTAATTTTTTATTGCTTTTCTAGATATAGGATCTTCTTTTGCGCTTCCTATAATGTCCTGGTCTGACAGTTTTGAGATGTTCTACTGTATTATTGTATATCCATGAATTTTTATGAGGACAAACCTTCAGTGCTTTCTAGAAGAACAACCAACCATCCTGACATCTTCATAAAAAAACAGATCTCATCTTAACTCTCTTTGCTACCTATTGTTCCTTGTCTCTATTTTCCAACATCACCCCAACACTGCTGCATCGCACTAACAATTGCGATAATTTTCTTCATAAAATATTCTGCTTATGATGCAGTACCATAGTAAAATAAACACCTTACAGTATTGTTTCAAGTGAAAAAAAAATTGTGTAATAAGGAGCAGAAAAGATAACTTTAAAATTATTTTATCACTAATCACTGTTGTAAAAAATAATTGAATCTAAGTTGAAGTTCTAGAAAATTTATAAGCAAAGAAGAGTATATTTCTTTTTTCATAGGCTGGCAAATTGAGAGAGAAAGTATTTAAATTATTCAAAAAATAAACAGTAACTATTATTTCTATTAAATTAACGCAAACAGAGTTTTTTATTGGAATAAAATTTATCTAGAATCTACTGTTTGTATATTTAAATTTCTGTTTCTCGCTGAAAAAGTTCCCAAAAAGAAACAGGTGATTTCCCTTTCTCCCTTTGATCTGCCAAACTGAAACTCTCTCTCTCAAGAGTAATAAACAGAAAATTCACAGATCTAATACATTATATTTTTCGACTAAGTTTGAACAAATAATAATTGCTGGTGACATTTGTGACAAAAGAGGCAAAGTACTTTTATTATAAATGAACTTGTTTGAGGTAATGAAAAAAAAAACAAGAAATTGAAAAGATCAGGTGACGTGAAATATGTTAATGATATAAACTTTAGTGTCTTTTGAGTATTTCTTGTCTGACAAGCTAAGGTTTTATTCATTATTGGATGTATATTGCCCTGCATTCCACTAGAGCCGAAGACAGTGAACTTCCACAGAAAAGGTATATGAAAAATTTTGAGGAAGGAAAAAAAAGAAAAAGAATAAAAAGGAAAAAGGCAGAAGAAGCATATCTTTTCACTCAACGAAATGTATCATATATTGTATAGTATGTGCACATTTTGTATAGATCTGGAAATCCCAGCTCTCTCCTTTTCAATTGTTACTGAATTAGGAATAAAAGGTAGCAAACAAACTTGACAACATTTAAAAACAAGAAATTTTTTCACTTGTATATTCAAAAAACTATTTTCATCAACAAAGGTTACACTAATTTTATTTTATAGTATTACCAGCGAAACATTCAAACTCCACTCCTCTTGCATCTACAGAAATGAGAGCTCAATAAAACAAGTGCAGATTAAACATGTACTCATTTAGAGTGTAACAGACAGGAAGTATCTCAATGTTGATGGAATAATAAATGAGAAAACCATCAGGTTAAGAATTCAAAATTTCAAGTTCATAATCAAAACCATGGTCACGAAATATCTAAATTAATTACATTATTTTCTTTTATTTATATTGTATGTTTGTGTGAAAATAATAATAAGTATATGGAATGTCAGATATTTTGAAAATAGTGAGATTTCTGTGTTATATGCAAAGGCTATTTGCCTCAGCAATGCAATTAGCATAATTAATTATATTAAATTCTGTGAATATATTATATAACCTATTTAATAAATTACAAATTTGAAGTCACTTTTAAAACAAAATAATTAAATTATTTATATTTGTATATTATATATAATTGTCACCAGCCCGTCACCTTGTTGGACACAATTGCGCTCGGAGAATATATTCCACATAAAGGAAAACAAAGTGTGACCACATTACTGAGTAAATGCATTTTAATAATTTCTGTTCACAGAATCGGTTGCCCTGACAGGGACTTGAACCCGGGCCTTCTGTTTTATGCCCAGTGTCTCTAATGTAGCTAATTAGAGCAGCTGGCATTGTAAATCAGAAGGCCCGTGTTCTTCAAGTCCCGGTCGAGGCAACCAATTCTCTGAACAAATGTAATTATATTTGTATATTATTTCTTACATGTATGCACTAATTGCACACAAATTACTAGTCCTGTATGACAATACACTGATGGGATAACTATTATCTGTTAAAACATGATGAAATAATTATAAAAAAAACTTAAGGAAGAATTACAAAGTGTGACATAAGTATAGTTCTCTGCATTACCGAAGACTACAATAATTTGTGAGGAACCCTAAGATAATAGGCAGAAATACATCTTTAAAATAATAGTGACAGTCTACAATTAAATGCCTGCAACTAAAACTCTAACACAAAATAAAACTGAAGCTAAAAGCCTTCCTGTACATAAAAATTAAAATACTAATTTTAGAACACACAGGAACCAACTGAAACCAGCTGAAAACCATCATATAATGCTTAAAATGCACACCAACAATTTTAGTGAAGAGAGTGTCACAGAATTGCAAGTAATTTTTTGAGGGAGGGGAAAAGTGAAAACAAGAAATGTCCACTCAGGAGACTGACTTCCCTTGCATATTCATCTGTCTCAAATATAATACCAATGATTGTGCACCTCCATCAAAATACGTCTACTCAGTACCAGACACGGCCAGTGCATCCAAAACATGGGAGCTGCAGCTCCATCAGAAATTGGGAATGTAATTTCAAAAATTTGGAACCCTAATACAAAATAAAATGTAAGCCATCCATTTATATTCAAGAAAACTAAGTTTAATAAAAACCTATATTCAATCATTACTTTCATAATTTTATGCGTAGAGCCCATTTAGGTTTGCACATCTCCAGTGCATATGCTTCTGGCTTTGATTTCCAATGGACACGAAGTTTTTGTGCATTGAGAGGATAACAGAAATCTTACAAAATAAAAACAGACTAGGATTTCAATATACAGTGATTTGACACCAACACCATGCAACAAGCATTATTGTTGGGACACGTTTTACAAATGTTCATTCCCTGACTTGTTTGTTATTGCTGATATATACACTTGGTGATGATAAGATAATAAAATTATTTTATTCCAAAAATTTCACTAGCCTTTTTACTTTCAAATAATGTAAGATCTGTAATTTTTCAGGATCGCATGTCCTCTTATATGAAATTTTTAGTGTATTCATAAATTTACTTCTTAAAGTGATATCCACTAATTATTCCTTTCAAAATGTGCAGCACCATTTGAAATAAGATGATTCGTTGGTGCCAGTTCACAATCTGTTGCAACAGGAGGAAACAGCAAACACAGTTTTCTGAGTGAATGCAGAGATGGGTCCTTGTTTTGTTTCCGGACATAGTAACTTCACAATTAATGGACTTTTTAACAAACAAATACAAAATAAATAGATGATAATATTAATAGATACTGGTAGATAATATATGGTGATAATAAACAACTGATTGAATGATCGGTCACCAGACAGATATAAACAAAACAATCACAGAAAAGGTCAGAGAAACCAAAGAGGGAGCAAAAAAGAATTATGTAACAGTGGCGAATCCTGGACATCATCTTAAGTATTCCGCACCTTATGGAAACTACCTCTGTCATAGTATTCCTTAAAAGGGAAACTTACATATCATACGTAAATTCTGGAGAATGAAATGTACTTACCTCGTCTAGTGGAAAGTCAGCTCTATTCATCACATTTCTTCAGAAATCGTTCCAAAACAGCTTGTGCAAAATGTTCTACGAACATCATTACGAAGTTTTCAAAGGAACTGCTTTCCAATCGATATCACTGACAGCGAAGATCTTCCTTGTCCATAGTTGATCTGCAGCTGGCGGCTGGTGCTCCAACAAACTGGAGGTTGCGCCTCCATCGAATGGCGGAAATGTCATTTCCAAGATTCAAAATACGAATATACAACAGAACTGTAAGCAATTCAAATTAATTAAACCCAAGTTAAATAAAAGTATACATTGAAACATTACTTACATACTTTTATGCGAAGTGTCCGTATCATGTATATACACCTCCGGCACGCGTGGTTCTGGCTTTCACTTCCACTGGGAACTTCAGGTCGACTCCAGCATAGTGCAACAAGCACTATTGCTTCGGCACGTTTCACACAAATACAATTATTTTATTTCGAAAACTTCGCTACCCTGGTATATATTGCAATAATGGAAGATCTACACACATTTGTATTCGCAAGCAAGCCATAATTTTTTTTGCAATATATTGAAAAGAACGTCAATATGCCCATAAAGTATTGAGAATTCAAGGAGGAAGACAGTATCCAATTGGCTCAAAAGGTAAAGAAAACCTTGTGCCTTCACAAATATTGACGGTTCTCCGTCGGCATTATTTCTGGATCTCTGGGATGCTCAAAGAATAATATTAAGTTTCCCCGTTGATCGCGTACAGTGTTCACGAGTCGGGAGCGTGAAAATTCCAGCGTTAAAATTCCAGCGTGTTGGTGTCGATTTGGGTAGCTTTCTGTTCATAAAAGTTTCCGTCCTCTACGTTGAATGGGAAAAGAAACTAGTGAGGCAGGACAGAGTTTGGAAGAAAAGTCTACTCTTGTCAATACACATTGCTGCCTGCTGCAATACTAAATTCAGAATGTGACAGTAATAATGCACAAATAATGCATGTAGAAATAACTCTTTTACTTTACTCTGAAGACTGCCTAAATGGCCAGATATTACGGCCGCACCATCAGCAATTCGGCAGCATCAGTAATCTGAGCAACAAGTTTCTCCCCTAAAACATTCACGGTTGTGACAATATGGTTATACAGCGCATCCGCAGATCAGCGCAGATGTCTGTAAAGCCTATAAACATATTGAAAACTACCGATTAGAGCAGCCTGCCGATGGAATTCTCCTCCAGACAATGACTGAATTCGGCCTAAAGCTACTGACGAATATTCTGCCACCGACGAGGCTCGAGCACTAGGGAATCCAGGTCAGAGGAACTGCAGCGTTATTAATTGATGCCCCGAACCACCTAAGCCTAAGTTTTGTGCCATACGTTAGCTAGTCAGCGGAGAAAGCATTAGGTTTAGCAGCATCACTCTCAAGATTGATGCCTAACACCAGGTGCCTCAGCGATAAGACGTGGAGGCTTATTACGAGGGCAGTCCCAAAACAATCCGACCTTCCACCATATTTTCCAGCTTCTGATATTCTGCGCCATCGGGCGGATGCATCCGTCGAAGTAGTCCCCAATTGAACGAATAATACTCTTCCAATGGCCTTTCCACTATTGGAAGCAGTTGTGGAACTCGATTTTTGGTATTGTCTTTAAAGCGCTCATAATATTATTTTCGATTGTTTTTTGTCGTCATATCGGTGTTCTTTTAGTGGCAGTTTTAACCTTTGGAGCAGCTAAAAGTCGCATGCAGCTATGTCAGGTCTCTATGAAGGCTGTCGGAGCTGTACGACAAAGGGTTTTGTGAAGTATTGTAGACCGAGGTTCGATGCATGCGTTGACGCGTTATCGTGGTGGAGCTAGTCACCGCTTGACCAGAGCTGATGCCGTTTTCTTCAAATTGCAACCTTTTCATAACTTCAAGATATTCTTTGTCGGTCGCCTGACCTCTAGGAGTATATTTGTGGTAAACAACACCTTCATAATAAAAAAAATCAGCGGCGACATTACACCGACTTTAGCGCATAGTTTTGGTCGTGGCTTCGATAGGAGATTCCACTGCGGAGACTGTTGGTTTGTTTTGGAAGCATAGCCAGAACCCCACGATTCATCACCAGTTATAATATTTTTAAGTATATTTCCATCATTATCGACCATTTCCAAATTCTCCTGAGTCATTTCTTCCTCCACCATTTCATTATTCACTATCAACGCAAAATATCAATGGAGAAACTTCCCAAAGAGTTTATATTTGGTAAATCTTCACTCACACTTCACAATTTCTACTTGTCCCAAGCAAGGCTCCATCGGAAACCAGAATTTAAAACTTTTAGAAACGTGATGTTACGCATCGCTACTTGCCTCAAGCGGATTATATTAAGAGCCAATCCGCTCTTAGCAACAGGCGAAAAATAATGATCGTGATGCATCTACTAACATATTATTTACATTATTTATTTTCTGCATTTCTGTTGTATTAATATTTACCAAATTTTTTCGAGGACGCTTCGACAATCCTGAATAAGATGCTTTAAAAACTTTGTATCTATTCATACAGCTGGTGAACGACGAATTAAGAATTTCCATGAATTCTTATATTTTATAGCTTTATGTCAGTTTGTACGAGTATATTACATTTACAAAGCCCTCACCATATTTCAATAGTTATTAATTAATATGCATATTTTCACATTAATTGTTCAATCTAATACTTGATAGCGTCTCCTTTTCCTTTAATAACAGCCATCAGCCATACTGCGTCTTGGCATGCTGTTGACCCAATTAGAGGCATGCTCCATGCCTCTAATTCAGCAATAGCTATATCATGTTGCCATACTCTTTCCAGACGCCGTTTAAATTCTTGAATATTAGTTATCATTTAACCAGTGGTGACTCGTGCTTAGTTTGCACAACCCCCATATAATTGAAAAAGATATATCATACGAAAATACATTTTCATTTTAATGACAACCAATATTTAAGAAATTGCAGTAATATCGATGTATGTGAAATAATTTTGAAACGAAGGGGCGTCCAACTGGCGCTCTCAGTGCCGTCTGGTGACTCCCAGATATTACACCACGCTCTTCGCTCTATTATTGGTTTTAATGTGTTTACTCTCTGGCCCTTCGCTTTAACACCGATGAACGTACTGTCTTTGGTGGGGTAACAAAGTGGGTGAAGGGTCCTGACTTCGAGCGCTGTAGAGCTCTGCCCGGCGTTGGAGACAGTCAGAGGGAAATGCCAACTGGCTCTACATGCAACTTAATTTTATGAATTTCACGTGTAATTGAAAGGAAATAAGTTCAGTTAATAATTGGCGGTATTCAATACATTTTTTATGATATTTGGAGAATTTGTTTTAATTTCATATTCAGTTTGTTGATTCCAAACGTACATTTCAAGTGTTATTTGCGTAAAGTTAGCCATTTTGGTTGGAAGTCCCTTTGTGTCCCTTTGCGGAAGCCAGTCTGCCAGCAGCTGGCCAGCAATTTGCGAGCGTTCTTGTGAATACGAATGTGTGTATAAGATCTTTCATTATTGCAATACATACCAGGGTAGTGAAGTTTTTTGTTATTTGTATAAAACGTGTCCAAACAATAATGTTATGGCAACACTGGGCATCAAAGCCTACGTGTGCGGGAGGTGAATAAACCTAACATAGACACTACACATTAAAATATGTAATTAATAAGTAAGTTTTAATTTACATAATTGGCTTAGATTTTATTGTGTATTAGTGTTCTGAGTTTTAAAAAGTACATTTCAATCATTCGATGGAGCTGAAACTTCCAGTTTGTTCGGCCACCAGCCACTGCATTTAACATCTGTCACTGCACCAGTCACTGCACTGCACCAGTCACTGCATTTAACATCTGACCTTCTTCTTCCCTTATTCCACAACCCTTCTATGGGATTTAGGTGTGGGATGTTCCCTCGCCTCGTCCAATACCCCAATGCGTAACTGCTGCAGATGACTCATGAACAATTTTGAAGAATGGCAGGGTGCTTCATCCTACATGAAAATTCTAGCATTTTCTGGATACCACTCACTCGTTTAAGAAATTAGCAAGTTTCCAGAACAAGTTTGTATTGTTTCTTCCTCATAGCAGCCTCAACAAAATACAATGGCCCAGTGCTATGGGTAGATATCACTTTCCCTACCATTAGTTTAACGGGGTATTTAATAGTTTCCTTAACGCTCTCAGACTTTCAACAACTGCTTTCCAGATCATCTCCATGTTTACTGTTGCCGATCTTGCATTTTTTTCACAATCGACTCCCCTGAGAAGCAAACCAGCAACTTGGAAATGAATGGAGTAAAAAGTATGAAAAAGAAATAATTGAAAATATTTTAAAATTTTTATGAAATGTTGCTAATGCCTCTAACAGAGGTTTGTCAATGAACATAATTCATAAAGCATAATAACAAATCATCTTTGACCAATTACTTGTGACTCAATCTCTAAACTATAATGCCCAAAATAAATGCTTTTTCGTCTTGCCTAATGTTAACATTGGCCTTTTTATTGGTCGTTGGCATCGAAAAGAACATGCGTGTAGTCCCCTACAAAGTGTCTTTGTACTTAAATTACAACCTATATTACTTAAAAGATCACGAATGGTCTTAGCAGTTGCCTTTCAGTTACACAAAGCAATTTTGTTGAACATTTGTTCCTGCTTTTGCGGATTTTTTCTCAGTTCCCCGACAGTTTGTCACTTTGTTGGTGTAAGTGGTTCACCTAAATCCATCTTTCTTTTAATCCTTGCAACAATACATTCCCTGGCTATTTCACACGCTCTCAAGTATGAAAGCAGTACTATAGTTGTCGCAATGCAGAAACAGAGCGATTTAATGGACGCCCGAAAGACCATGATCATTGCTTTCGGGCCAAGGGCGGAAGCATTTTCGAAAAGGCTAAGTTTGTAAAGTGTTCGCGTGTCGCCATGGTTGAATGGCGGTCGCGCGTGCATGGCAAAATGGCAATATCCAAAGTCGACGCCAAGGCAACTGTAGCGCACCGGGGACCATTGATAACAGGGGAGAACGACTGCGGAGATGTGTACGGGCTGACAGACCTGCAACTGTAGAGCAACCGCCTAGTGAACCAAGCTGCTACCATCAGAGTCTCGTCAACAACCGATCAGCAAACGTTGCTGCGTATGGAGCCTCCGGAGAAAGCGCCTGGTTCACGCTCCCGTGCTGACAGCAGTTCGTCGACGCCGAAGGCTGGAATTTGCACGCCAACACCGCAACCGCACTGAGTGGCGAAAGGTGGGCTTTTCAGATGAATCACGTTGTCTCCTCCAACGGACAGAAGGTCGTTGGCGCAAACGGCTAGAGACGTCTGCAACAACCGCCGCACGTGCCCAGGCCGGAGGAGGAAGCTTGGTGGTGTGAGGTGTTTTCGTGGTATTACTGGTGATCTCGTCATAACGAGAGACAAAGTGGATCAACAGATGTATGAAGCCATCCTTGGTTACCATCTCCACCCAGCACCTACCAACAGGAGAACGCAACGTGTCTTCTGTCTCGCATTGTACGTG